AAACAGCTTTACCAGTATGATCACGAAGGCCCGGCACAACCCAAGCAAAAGCCTACTAGTCAAGAGCAAAGGTCATGGCAATGGTGTTTTGGGGATGCTCACAGCATTTTGCTTGCTGACTTTCTGGAAGGCCCGAGAATGATCCACAAGCAGCAACAGACCAGTCCACATTACAAGAGTGTTCTGAGAAAGTCAGCCAAAGCTTTAGCGGAAAAATGCCCCGAAAGCTTCCCTAGACTATATTTCTCCAAAAAGACAATGCTGCTGCTCATTCCTCTCATCAAGCCAGGAGCAATTTTGAAGTTTTGATGGGAAATCACGGGAAGTATGTGGGAATCATTAGGAAGTCACGGAAGCTGGCCTTTACACTTGGGAACTATCAATAAACCAAACAGATGTAAATCCCTGTCCCCATAAAATATACATTCTCATAGAGGGAGCAAGACAATCCTAATAAACACCATACATCAGGTGGTCAGGTTAGATCTCATTGAGATTTTCAGCAAAGTCTGAGGTTGGTGAGGGAGCTATGCAGATATCTAAAGGAAAGACGATTCCAGAGGAATTTCAGCACACAGATCCTGAGACAGTCATATGAGGTGTGTTCTAGAAAGTTCTGGAGGACTGAGCAAGGGGGAAGTAGATGATCAGGGATGGGAGGAGACAGATCTCGTAGGGTCTAGTAGAACGTTGTATAGGAGAAATGGGGACGTACTGTCAGATTTTGAGCAAAAGGTTTTACAATATACCTTTTTCATTCCTTCTATGTCTTATCATTCAGTAAATATCTGTGGATTATTTCAAAGGAAACCCTATGTGAAAGTGCTACAACTCAAGAGAGTTACATACTAATAGTGACAACTATTGGTGGCCTGAGAGCAGCCAGAGGGAAGGCTCCGAGGCAGGCAAAACATGGGACCTTCAGACTACATGACAGTTAAAAACAACTAAGACACACTATTAAGATCATTCACAAAGTATACTGGAAAAAGGGGAAGTGGTAATTTGTTCGACACCAACTTTCACAGCTGTGATTCCTCACAAGTTGCCTGGGGATACTTCAAAATAGAGGTCTTTAGTCCCACCATTGTACTTGTTCTTTTGTTCACAGGTAACACGTCAGAGCCGTTTACATTATGATCACAGTCAGTAGCACATTGCAGTTTATGTAAAAGCAGTCACAATGTCAACATCTGATACTGTGGGAAGAAAACTCACCTTTCCTTGAGACAGCGTAGAACTCTTGGTTACTACATTAGCACTTCAAATCTAACTGATGAAAGATCAGACTGTAGGCCGGTGAGCCGTGGCTCACTTGGTTAATCCTCCACCTGCAGTGCCAGCATCCCATATGGGCCCCGGGTTCTAGTCCCCGTTGCTCCTCTTCCAGTCCAGCTCTCTGCTGTGGCCTGGGAGGGCAGTGGAGGATGGCCCAAGTGCTTGGGCCCCTGCACCCCATGGGAGACCAGGAGGAAGCACCTGGCTCCTGGCTTCGGATTGGCACAGCGCCGGCTGTAGCAGCCACTTGGGGGGTGAACCAACAGCTCCCTGCAAATGCACCTGAGAAAGCCGCATTAGATGGCCCAAAGTACCAGTACTTGGGCTTCTGCTACCTACATGGAGTTCCAGGCTCCTGGCCTTGACCTGCCCCAACTGTGGCCATTGAGGCCATCTGGAGAGTGAATTGGCAGATGGAAGCTCTCTCTCTGGCTGCTCTGCTTTTCGAATAAACCTTAAGAAATTTTTTTCTTGAACTTGTTTTAATTTTTTCTTTTTTGAAAGTGAGTGCACTTCTATCCACTGGTTCACTCCCTGAATGCCAGCAGCCAGGGCTGTCCCAAGCCAAAGCTGGGAGTCAGGAATTCAGTTCATGTCAGTTCAGGGACCCAAGTACTTGAGTCATCATAGGCTGCCTCTCAAAGTGTGCATTAGCAGAAAGCTGACTCAGAGGTGAGTAGCCAGGACTCAAATATGGAATGTGGGCATCCTAAGTGGTTAACTTTAACTGCTATGTCACATACCCGCCTCATGGGTATTTTAAGTGGGATGATTTTCCTCTCGAGGACGTGGGTGTTGCTTTACTTCACATCCATTTTGTAATGTCTAATAAATAAAAACTTCTAAAAATTATCCAGAACCATTCTGCCTTATTACGGTTTATCTTCTTCAGACAGACAGCGCTAACAATTTTCTTTGAACTTGGAGCTGCGTAAGGGGTTAACATCTGGCTTGGTAAGATATTCCATTTCCTGTTTTAATCAGGGTAGCATGACTTGCACAGAGGCAGAAAAACGACCTGGTCTCCCGCTCTCCCACTTCCCAGCTTCTACGTTTGTGCATGCAGCTCTAGCACAGTGCTGCTAGTGTGCTCTGTTGACTGGTGCCAGTCCCAGAATGTTAGCAGTTTGCAAAAATGATAAGCAGCACGCTTATATTTGCTCGTTCAGCATTTTCTCTGAATACATTTTAAAAATGTTATATTTTACATATTTTAATAATTCATTTTAATAGCAATTAACTTTTAAAGATTTTTTTTGAGACAGAGTGAGGTCTTCCATCTATTGGTTCACTTACCAGATGCCCTGCAATGGCTAAGGCTGGACCTGGCTGAGGTCAGGAGTCAGTAACTCCACCCAGGTCTCTGATGTAAGTGGCAGGAACCCAAGGACTTGGGCCATCATCACTGGCTCCTTCCAAGTCCATTCAGCAGGAAGCCGGGTCCTGTAGTCTGGACTTGAACCAGGCATTTCAGTATGTGACATGAGCATCCCAAGTGGTGGCTTACCCACTGTACCACAGCACCCATCCAAGCAATGACTTAAAGCAGTTTACAAAAGCACCAGTCTGACCGACTGACAGCATCCCATATGGACACCACTTCCAACCCCGGCTGCTCCACTCCTGACCAGCTAGCTCTCTGCTATGGCCTGGGAAAGCAGTGGAAGATGGCCCAAGTCCTTCGGCCCCTGCACCCATGTGGGAGCCCTGGAAGAAGCTCCTGGTTCCTGGCTTCCTATCAGCTCAGCTCTGGCCATTGCAGTCATTTGGGGAGTGAACCAGTGAATGGAAGACTTCTCTCTCTGTAACTTTCAAATAAATAAATCTTAAAAAAAACAAAAACAAACTTGAAAGGCAGTTAGAGAGGTATCTTCCATCCACTGATTCACTCCCCCAAAGGCCACAACAGCTAGGGCTGGGCCAGGCTGAAGCCAGGAGCTTCTAAGTCTCCCATGAGTGCAGGGGCCCAAGTACTTGGACCATCCTCTGCTACTCTCTCTCCCAGGTGCTGGATTGGAAGTAGAGCAGCAGGGATACTGGTGCTGCCGGTAGTATCTTATCCTGCTATTCCACAGTGCCACCCCCACCTTTTAAAAATTACTTGAAAGTAGAGCTACAGAAATCTTCCACTTCTGGTTCACTCTCTGAATGGCTTAAAAGTTAAGAGTTTGGTCCAGGTCAAAGCCAGGAGCCAGGAACTCCATTTGCATCTTCCATAGGGGTGGCAGGTACCTGAGTACTTGACCCATCTGCTGCTGCTTCCCAGGGGGCATTAGCAGGCAGCTGAATCGGAAGCAGGGTAGAAGACTTCCACTGTCACTACCCTACAGGATGCTGGTATGACAAGAGGCGGATTAACCTGCTGTGCCATACCTGAATGAGGAAAAGTAGAGGGAAGTAGTCAGGGAAGAAAACCTATGAAGGCAGGAAGAATGGAACACAAAAGATCAGCACCTCGACAGGACACAAAAAGCGGATGAGTACGCAGTCTGTAGGTGGGCAGCCTGGAATTGGTGACAATTCACTGTCCGTGAGAATAAAAGCAATCAAGTTCACCACCTATGTGCCCGGCATCGAAACACATGAATTCCTTTAACACTCTGACCCCCAAATTCACTACCTATTTCCTGCAAGTGAACCTTGTAAGCAGGTACTGCATACACGTGTAACATTCTTTAACAGAAATTATAGGAAATATTTTCTAATATAAGTGCATTCTGAGATAAGAACTTGTGCTTTCCTAAGATTATCTTCAAGTTTTACATATGAGACTGTAGATCTGAAATTTTACAAAACATGGAAAATGATCAGGGTATACCTATCTGCATGGAAAAACGATCGAGCTTTTAATTTGTTCTGATCTAACAGAAACATGGGGGTGTTTAGCCTAGTGGTTGTGACATACATGTTCTACTTCAGAGTCCCTGAGTTTTTTTTTTTTTTGACAGGCAGAGTGGACAGTGAGAGAGACAGAAAGGTCTTCCTTTTGCTGTTGGTTCACCCTCCAATGGCCGCCGCGCTGCGGCCGGCACACCGCGCTGATCCGATGGCAGGAGCCAGGAGCCAGGTGCTTTTCCTGGTCTCCCATGGGGTGCAGGGCCCAAGCACTTGGGCCATCCTCCACTGCACTCCCTGGCCACAGCAGAGAGCTGGCCTGGAAGAGGGGCAACCGGGACAGAATCCGGCGCCCCAACCGGGACTAGAACCTGGTGTGCCGGCGCCGCTAGGCGGAGGATTAGCCTAGTGAGCTGCGGCGCCGGCCTGAGTCCCTGAGTTCTAAATATGGCTCTGCTACTGACTCTAACTTCCCAGTAATGAAGACCCTGCGAGGGAGTGAAGAAGACTGGGTTCCTACCACCTCAGGGGGTGACCTGGATTGAATTCCTGGATTCCTAGGTGGGTCCAGTCCTGGCTGTCTGAGGCATTTGGGGAGTGAACCAGCAAACTGGAGCTCATCTGTCTCTCTGCCAATCAAAACATACTTAAAACAAGAAAAATGACTATTGGTCAATGGGCTCAGTTTGGACAACCCCCAATCCCACAGTCTAAAGACCTAATTGGTAACATAAAAGCTGGAATTTCTACCTTCAAACTTTTGATTTTTACTCCAATCTCACAAATGTACACCTTTATACTGTTTTTAAATCTCGAATGTACAGCATTTGTTCAAGCAGACTATTCAAAAAAACAGATCAACAGAAAACTTTCTAAATGTCACTACATAATTCATCAAGCAAATTTTTATTGAAGCTTAAATTGTGGTACAGAAATACATTTCAACTGATTTAAGTCCAACACCAATGAAGGGAAAAATTATGGCACCAAACTTTTCCTCCTCTGTCATACTAATTTTAGATTACTAGTCAATCTACACTTTTCATTTTTGTAGGCTTTGTTCCACACAAATTTGTGCAAATTTTCCACATTAGAATTATTAGGGAAATCATTAGAAGTCTATTAGGGGAAAAAAAAAAATCAGACCTCAAGCCAACAATTATCAAACTACTAGGATACTGTTCAAGAACAAAATCTACTTCCAGTATTGGTCCTCAAAACAGCAACTCAAAATAGTAGGTGCTGTGCTCATTACAAAATCAAGGTTTCACCTCCCAAGGAACCTTTCAATCAACCACACGCTTAACCTAAGTGAAAACAGTGTTCCAACCACTTGATTTCAAACCAAGATGATTTTATGTTTAGAAACACTTAAAAAAGGTGCTTCATTTATAAATATGGCAGGAACAAAACATCACTGTATCAATCCAGAAATTATTTTAACAAATGTTGTGAGGACAAGAAATAAAAATGTTACTCCATATTACTGTTCTGTCAGTTGCTTAGATCCCACAGTCATTGCAAATATAGCTAACAGATGCCAACTCTTAAAAGTCTGTACTTCTAGTCATTTCCTACTGACTATTTGGGAATTTTACATCATATTTTGTTCATTTGTATATTGTTTGGTCATATATCTAAACAACCTGCACAATTCTCATTCTGAGCAGTCATTCATCTCATCCAGTGAATGGCACGGTGAATGGAACACCATAGTTAGAGGCACATGTGAAGTCAGAACACTCACATCCATTACAAAGTCACACAAGACAGAAAAGACACCGACTCTGCTCTGAACCAAACTTTACACTATGGTAATAAAAATTAAGGTCAATAATCCAAGCTGACTTACTGAATCCAGTACAACCTCTGCTAATTCTCCCTGCTAATCAACTGACAAAAATCCCTTTATACTATGACTTAGGAAGATAGTCAAAGGCATGGCACTCAATAAAAGCCAATTTCATTTACTGTGGAGCACAGAATAGCTCAGGTTTTCCACACAGGTGAGCCAGGACACCCTAGTCTCTACAACTCTCTATGGGTCTTCCTTGCTAATTAAACTGGGTAAGTTTACTTTCACTATCTTCCAAAAGAGTTCATGCCAATTCAAATGGCTCATGTTCTTATAAGACAATTAAGCACAGGGACCACCCCCCTGCTTCCCCATGTGGGGTATTAGAGTCACTTATAAACCCACAGTGTGACAGTGTATTGCTTTATTTGGGGGGTTTGGGGCAGACACCATGGTGAGGGAAGAAATCAAAGTACAAATGCAAGGAGCAATAATGTTAAAATAGAAACACACAAAATGAGTAACTGCAATCATTTTTTAAGAGGAATCAACTCATGAAGAAAAACTTTAATTGCTGTTGCAAAAAACATCTGTATGAAGTAGAAATTGGTTTCCATAACATTAGTAGAGAATATGTTCTAGAAAGTGGAGGTAACTGGACATAAAATCCTGGCAGCAATAGAACAGTCCCAGATGGTTAGGCTGAGGCCAACACCTAATGAGGACGAAAGCCTTGTCTGTGGGGAATTTTGGACGATACCTGCAGAAATATTACACTGCGCATAAACCAAATTGAATTGTTTTCACAAGTGTTGTAAAGTTTCATATAGTAAAAGTTTTTTTCTACATGCACTTCAATTTCACAGCAAGAGTGGCATAGAATACCTAAACACAGAAGAGAGCATTCATGCAAGATATCTAACTCCTTGATATAATAATGCATACAATTCAAAATGATTCCACTATCATTACATCTAGGGCTCTGTGCAACTACAAAGTGGTGGTTACGGAAAGCATGGCCCCCAGTGTCAACATCTAGAAAGCGGCCACCACCTTCTATGTGTGTTCTCTTTTTGCGTTTTTTCTTCATGTTTCTTAATCAACTCTGCTGTTGTTGCTGCTTCTTAGCAAAACTGGTAAAAACAAAATTGTAATCGTTGAACATAGCACTCTGGCAATCAAGACGTTTAAAGCCTTCAATCTTCTGGGGCGAAGAAAGCACTGTGCGACATTTAGAACTCTGGGAACAAATTCAACAATTATTAGTACATCCAGTGAAAGTTATGCAATAAACACACCTCTCTCTTATTGAAATGCTGGCATGGGAGTTACTTCAGCTGCCATCTTACAGACTGCAGTGGGGCATCTTATGTTCCCCTACCAGGTCTGTCAACAGGACAAGAAGAGCTCACGAGAGGGCAAGATGGAAAACAAGGATGGGCAGAAGTCCCACAAAGCACACACAACTTCTCATCCACCAGTAGCAACCTCCCAAGGAGTACCTCTGGTGACCATCGGCGTGACTAGTTAAGTGCTCTGTTTTAGAACATGCCTTTATGACAGGCCTTACTAGCCTTACTCCTTCCCTTTAAGATTTTATTGTCAATTAAGATATCAAATTACCTGATTAACAAACAAGGTGGTCACAAATTTTCCTGGCTTGAAGACTTCCACAACTTTCCTGATCAGGTCATCATAGGAGGTCTGACTTAAGTTTGTTTCAAAGCTAACATAAGAAAATTCTGGTTCCGGAGTGATGTGAATAGTCCAATAAGTTCCCTTAGAGAAACAGCTTTGTGTTAATAATGCAAAGGATATATTAAAGTATTTAAATAGTTATTGAAGCAAGATATTATTACTTACATCCGATTTCATTCCATTCATTGAATACCCACAAGGATTGAATAGTGTGGCATCAATGACAGAACCTGGTATCAGGTCACGAATTCCACTCTCCTGGGGGAAAAAAAAAACCAAGATCAAATTAAACACAATTTTGAATTAATAAAAAAAAACAAAACAAAACAAAACTGAGTGCTCATGCAGAAGAATCTAGCAGTGATTTTTATAGGAAATGCTTACACGAGTGACATCCTTTGCAGTAACACCATCTTTCATGTAGAACTGGTCCATGACTGCTGGGTCAAGCTCACTCATCAGAATCTCCAGGGTTTGATCTGGCTGGCTGATTACCCGACTCTCTGGAAAATCCAGAGTATACAGGTACCTACACAATAAAAAAAAAGTTTCTAAAAATGCTAATTGGTGGTTTAAAGTAAATCCTACATGGAGTGCACAAAAACTCCACAGAATTTCAAACATACCAACAGTCAGAATTCATACGTCCCATACAATATGCTGCTCCATCTGTTGAGGAAAGAGAATGTAAAATAAATATAATATCCACTGAACAGGATGGCTTATTAGCAACCTTCTAACAGGCAACATGATAGTATCTATCATCAATCAGACACATCAGCAGTGAAGGGAAACTAAGCGGGTGAATCTGAGACAAGCAGGATCCCTCCTTGCACTAAGACATTGTCTGGCCATCACTGGGAGGCTGATATTTCAGCTAGTAGGTCTGTCTAAATGGAGATGATAAACAGCTTACCCTCCCTGCTAAACTCCTTTAGGAAATGGAGTCTGGTTACCCATTTATCTACTCTCCCAATTAAATACAAAGTTATTTATACAATACTTCCGATACTGTTTCAAGGTCTCAACACAAACACTTGGCAAGCATTTGTTCTGATAATCAACACTCTGATGTAGCTTAGTATGGTTTTGTGTCGGATCATGTAAGTCACTTTGTGCAAAGTTATTAAATTATGCTAGGATTTTGGTCTCATCCAAGAAGTAAGGGTGTTATATCAGTGATCATTTGTAAGCCAGTTCAAAAAATTCTGGGTCAGAGTTCAATAATCTGGAAGGGCTCATAGCTCTTCCTTTATATTGTCAAAGGATACAGGAGGATATAGGAGGTCACTCAAAAAAGTTCATGGAAGGGGCCAGTGTTTGAGCTAGTGCTTATGACACCAGTTCTCACATTGCATATCAGAGTCTGGGTGTGGTGCCTCCCCTACAATTCCTGACTCCAGCTTACCCCTACAATGGACCACGGGAGGTAGTGGTGATGCTTCAGGTTACTTGGGTTCCTGCCAGCCAATGTGTGGAAGACATGAACTGAGTCTCTGGGTCCAGCCTTTGGCCTCCACCCAGCCCCACTGGGGAGTAAACAAATGGACAGGAGATCTCTCATTCTGCTTCTTAAAATAAATAAAATGCAACTGAGTTCATTTTTGTGCAGAAATAATGTTTTTATACTCTGTAAATTCTGTTTTATCGTATAAAGTTTACTATTGTACTGATAAAACATCCAGGTAAGTTTAAAAAGCAAAATATTAGAGGGATAGGCATTGTGGCATAGCAGATAAAGCTGCTGCCTGTAATGCCCGCACCCCACATGGGTGCTGGTTCCAGTCCCAGCTGCAACATGTCCAATTCAACTCCCTCCCAACGGCCTGGGAAAAGCAGCCTTCAAAAGATGGCCCAAGTATTTGGGCCCCTGCCGCTCATGTGGGAAACCCAGAAGCAGCTCCTGGCTCCTGGGTTCAGCCTGGCCTAGTCCTGGGAGATGCAACCACCTGGACAGTAAACCAGCAGATTGAAGATTTCTCTCCCTCTGTGACTCTGACTTTCAAGTAAGTAAACACATCTTAAAATAAAATACATAGTGTGCTGTATTTGCATATATACGCATTCTCACACAGAGATATATGAAACATTAAATCCTTTAAGAAGGCAGATTTAAATTCATTTAAACTTACTTGGGAAAATCGCATTAAGAAACTCTATTTCTTCCTGGAAATTCCGGTGTGGGTACCCTTGGTGAGAAGGCTTCATGAAATTCTTACGAGAATAAAAGAAGCTCTTAAGAAGAAGAAGAAAGAAAGGTAACTTTAAGACACAGAATCCTGTACCATTTTTTTCTAAAGCAAAACTATTTTCTGCACATAGAAATTCAGCAAAATCAAAATTTTAGTATTTTCCCCAACGTTATAAAGTATACAATTAGCTTCCTGGACTGATTCTGCTGTAGTCTCAGTGTGTGCATTTATAGAATACTGCAATGATCTGTTTCTGAGATCAGTATACCCAGTCTATATAGATGATGGGTCAAAACTGTATAGACAAGGCCTATGTCATGGAGAAGTTAAAGCCACTGCTGCTGACACCCAAGCCACCATCCCATATCAGAGTGCTGGTTCGAGTCCTGGCTACTCTGCTTCTATCCAGTTCTCTGCTGATGTGCCTTTGGAAGGCAGGAAAGGATGGCCCCAAACTAGGTCATCTCAGTCATGAAATTTTCCTTCTTATCTTGCAGTTTCTCATACCAACAGTTATTGTTTGACTACTTTTTTCTCCCATTCGAATTTCATCCCAACAGGCTCAACAGTTTATAGTTCTCTTTCTCCTACAGTGTGGATCATCTCACCACATACTCTTATGCACTATAACTGCACAGTTAATACAGATTTATTTACGAGGCACATCACAGGCTAAGCATCTGTGTTTCTGCTTACTTACTTGAATTGAGTCAAACCCACTGTAGTCCCTAGCAAGCTTCAGCAGGGGAACCAGCGCTTTCAGCAAGAGGGTGGTACCACATGTCTTCAAAATGAAACGTCTCTTGGAGACAAACATGCTACTCTCACTGGGGATGAAAAAAGTCACATCATCACAATATTTCTGTACTACTCAGGATCCAACTGACCTATTATTAAGTTATAACTTTTGGCTAGTATTTTTAGCTAGTATCTCAAGAAAGCAAATAAGTAACATTATTCTTCTCTATTATCCAAAAGTTAGTTTAAGCTTCTGGAGCCTCACAGAAACAGGCCTCATTACACACGTTCTCTCTTACACTCTGGGTCAGAGTTCAATAATCTGGAAGGGCTCATAGCCCTTCCTCATCTTGCACCACTACTCAGCCTCACAAGTTATTTCTGTAACCATCTCATTATTTCTTCAACTAGATACTAAGCTCCATGAGGAGGGAATGTTTGCTTTTACTCACCACTATACCCCCAGGGCTTGGCACAGAGTAATCATTTTGATAAACATCTGTATGTGCCAAACAAAGGCTTAATAAGAAGTAGGAACTTTCTGCATCTTGTCTAATCCAATAGCCCTGAGGACCATCACTACATAACATAAGCATTCAAAGTATATATTGAATAACTTTGCACCTACATAAAAGATGGGAGGCTCTTTTATATGCCAATACAGAACCCATATTTTTTTAATATGGTGAAGCTAATTTTCACTTCGCCTGAAGTTCTGACACCAAGGTCCTCTGAGAAAAGGACCTGCATCTGGAGTGCTGGGGTAGCATGACATGGAGGTGTGGAGACAGTCAATCCTCCTTTGACAAGTTCTTGCTGCTGGTTATCACAACCAGCATGGAACACTATTAGGTAAGGTTCCAAAACTAATGGTTACAAACACTCAAGTCATTAACATTTATTTTATTTTATACCACACTGGCAAAAATGAGGTAAATATGATTCTAGAACTAAGACTGAGGGGGGACAACTCAATGTTTCACATGAAGTCACGAGTGAGTCGGGAGCTAGCTGGCTCGCACTTGCTCGCAGGACTTACCTGAGTACATAAGCTTCCTGCTTGTCAGTTTTTGTCACACTTATGATTGAACATTGCACATCCTTCAAAAGTATGTCCCACTCAGATCTATTATTTAATGAAAAAAAAATACAATTAATAACAGTCCTTACCTACTCTCAAGTTTAAACTCTCATACAAGTTCCCCAAGACCACATTTTCTCTACTGCTCCAGCTTCTCTTAGGAAACCAACATTGATATGTACAGATAAGAGTCCATTTTGCCTTCCATGAAAACAGGAAATTTATACCATTTATTTATAACTTATTGAAACAAAAATAGACAAAAAACACGAATAAGCCATTTAGAGAGGAAATTCAAAAGCCCACAAACCAAGGGAAACTTTTTTAAAAAAGCATCATTTTACCAACTAAACTGACAGATTTAAAAGGCTGCCTGATGGAGTAATCTGTTACTAATACTGTTTAGATATCAAACTGGCAGGTGATCTGATCTATTTAACAGTCAGTCTAATACAGCGAGAGAGCAAAATGGAACTAGCCTTATTTTCATGGAAGCAAGTGCTTCTTGAAGATCTCTTTTTTCTTCCTCTCTATGTAACTCTGCCTTTCAAAAAAAAAAAATCTTAACAACAACAAAAGAATTCCTAGAGATATCTTCAGATTACCAGATTAAGGGCTACAAATCTTAAAGCCCTTGCATGCCAGTCTTCTCTACCCATGAAAAGGGCTCTATCATTTCTTAGCAGATGGAAAACCTCTTTGCCTCTCTGTAACTCTGCCTTTTAAACAAATAAATCTTAAACAAAAAAAAACAAGCACAAGCAGCCCTATTAGAATTTTGTGCCTGTTTCATCACTTTGCTAAAAGAAACTGTTACCAGCGACCAGCCATCTAAGTATGGACAACCATCTGAAAATCTTTAAAAGTTACTGAATTATGCTTGGTAATGATTACAGAACTGAGCTGTTCTATTTGACCGTAACTTTATTAAGCAATTTTCAAAACGTTTTCAAAAAAATTTTAAGGTTTATTTTTTGAATAAAAAGTTGTACTGTTTAGACCAAAAAAGCTACAATTAAGATAGTTCTGAGCATCACAAAAATTTTTAGAAAATCCCGTTAAAATAGCCGGCGCCGCGGCTCAATAGGCTAATCCTCCACCTAGTGGCGCTGGCACACCCGGTTCTAGTCCCGGTCGGGGCGCCGGATTCTATCCCAGTTGCCCATCTTCCAGGCCAGCTCTCTGCTATGGCCAGGGAGTGCAGTGGAGGATGGCCCAAGTGCTTGGGCCCTGCACCCCATGGGAGACCAGGAGAAGCACCTGGCTCCTGCCTTCGGATCAGCGCGGTGCGCCGGCTGTGGCGGCCATTGGAGTGCTGGCGCCGCAGGCGGAGGATTAGCCTAGTGAGCTGTGGCGCTGGCCGGGGTATATGAATTGATTAAGATAACCTGAAGGTCCTGGCAGGTGTGTGTATGAGAGATATTGTAGCACAGTGAGTTGGGCTGCTGCCTGGAACTTTGGCATTTCTACCCCTACTAAAGTGCCTAGGATTAACTTTCACCTCTGCTTGCAATTCAGCTTCTTGATTAATATGCCTAGGAGGCAGATGATGGCCCAGGTATTTGGGTTCCTGGTACCCACATGGTAGACCCAGAAAGAGGTGCTGGCTCCTGGCTTTGGCCTGGCCTGGCCCCAGCTGTTGTGAGCATCTGGGGAGTGAACCAGCAAAAAAAGGGGCCGGTGCTGTGGTGTAGTGGGTGGTGCCAGTTTTTCCTGCTACTCCACTTCTGATCCAGCTCTCTGCTGATGCATCTGGGAAATCAGCAGAAGATGGCCCAAGTGCTTGTGCCCCTGCACCCACATGGGAGACTAGGAAGAAGATTGGCCCACTTCCTGCCACTGAGGCCATAGGGGGAGTGAACCAGAAGATTTGTCTTTCCACTCGCTCTCTGTGTTAACTCTGCCTTTCAAATAAATTTTTTTAAAAATTTTATTTATTTGACAGAGTTATAGACAGTGAGTGAGAGAAAGACAGAGAAAGGTCTTCCTACCATTGGTTCACTCCCCAACTGGAAGCTAGGGCTGACACTGCGCCATTCCCCAAATGGCCGCTACAGTCGGTGCGCTGTGCTGATCCGAAGCCAGGAGCCAGGAGCTTCCTCCTGGTCTCCCATGTGGGTGCAGGGGACCAAGCACTTGGGCCATCCTCCACTGCCCTCCCGGGCCACAGCAGAGAGCTGGACTGGAAGAGGAACAACTGGGTCTAGAACCCTGAGCCTACATGTGATGCCGGTGCCATAGGCGGAGGATTAACCAAGTGAGTCACAGTGCCAGCCCCATCAAATAAATCTTAAAAAACAAAAAACAAAACAAAACAACAGAAACAAAAACCCAAAACCAAAAAACAACTCTGTACTCTCCACATTTTGAATAAATGCCTGGAGTATTTATTACAAATGTCACTATTTTTTCCTCTAAACTTTATTGCATAGCAACTATTTTAACATAGCACTTAGACTGAATGAGGTAATATAAGTAGGTGAATCTCCTGGTTCTGGCCTGGCCCAGCCCAGGGCCTTGGTGGCTACCTGGGAAGTAAATCAGCAGACGGAATACCTGTCTTTCCCTCTTCTCTTTCAAATAAATATATCTTTTTTTTTTTTTTTGACAGGCAGAGTGGACACAGAGAGAGAGAGAGACAGAGAGAAAGGTCTTCCTTTGCCATTGGTTCACCCACCCTCCAATGTCCCCGCGGCCGGCGTGCTGTGGCCAGCGCACCGCTCTGATCCGATGGCAGGAGCCAGGTACTTATCCTGGTCTCCCATGGGGTGCAGGGCCCAAGCACTTGGGCCATCCTCCACTTCACCCCCGGGCCACAGCAGAGAGCTGGCCTGGAAGAGGGGCAACCGGGACAGAATCCAGCGCCCAGACCGGGACTAGAACCTGGTGTGCCAGCGCCGCAAGGCAGAGGATTAGCCTAGTGAGCCACGGCGCCGGCCCAAATAAATAAATCTTTAAAAAAAGTTTCTCAATCAGCACTCCTGACAATTTGATCCAGATAGTTCCGTGTTGCAGGTGACTAACCTATGGGTTGCACAATGTATAATGTGTAGCAGCACACCCTGTCCTTCCATCCTCCCATGGAGGACAAGGAACTTTAAAAAAAAAAAAAAGATTTATTTTATTTGAAAGGCAGTTGCCAGCGCCGTGGCTCAATAGGCTAATCCTCTGCCTGCGGTGCCGGCACACCGGGTTCTAGTCCCGGTCGGGGCGCTGGATTCTGTCCCGGTTGCCCCTCTTCCAGGCCAGCTCTCTGCTGTGGCCAGGGAGTGCAGTGGAGGATGGCCCAAGTCCTTGGGCCCTGCACCCGCATGGGAGACCAGGGTAAGTACCTGGCTCCTGCCTTCGGATCAGCGCGGTGCGCCGGCCGGCAGCCATTGGAGGGTGAACCAATGGCAAAAGGAAAACCTTTCTCTCTGTCTCTCACTGTCCACTCCGCCTGCCAAATAAATAAATAAATAAATAAAATAAAAAAAGAAGAAAGGCAGTTACAGAGAAAGGGAAAGGCAGAGATCTTCCATCTGCTGGTTAACTTCCCCAAATGGCCACAATGGCTGGAACTGGGCCAGACTGAAGTCAGAAGCCAGTAGCTTCTTCTGGGTCTCCCACATGGGTGCAGGGGCCCAAGGATTTGGGACATTTTCCACTGCTTTCCCAGGCACATTAGCAGGAAGCTAGATTGGAAGTGGAGCAGCTGGGAATTGCACTGGTACCCATATGGGATGCCAGTGCTGCAGGTGCCAGCTAGACCAGCTGAGCCACTAAGCCAGAACTAGGATGAGGCATTTAAGATCAGAAAAAGTTATCTCAAGGCCAGCACCGTGGCTCAGTAGGCTAATCCTCCGCCTGCGGCGCTGGCACACCAGGTTCTAGTCCTGGTCAGGGTGCTGGATTCTGTCCCAGTTGCCCCTCTTCCAGGCCAGCTCTCTGCTGTGGCCAGGGAGTGCAGTGGAGGATGGCCCAAGTACTTGGGCCCTGCACCCGCATGGGAGACCAGGAGAAGCACCTGGCTTCGGATCAGCGGTGGCCATTGGAGGGTGAACCAATAGCAAAAAGAAGACCTTTCTCTCTCAGTGTCCACTCTGCCTGTCCAAAAAAAAAAAAAAAAAAAGTTATCTCAAGTCAATAACTACGTAAACCAACATTGCAATCCTATGCTATAAATACATCCCAAAGCCACATCTTAGTTCATCTTTAGTTAGTTAGTACAACGATCACCACAGAGCCCAACTTCATAGTTTACAACATAGACCAGGGATTCTCAGTCTCAGCTGGTGTGCTGTGTTTGGGACAAAGCACAGACAACTTCCGTCATCATTACTGTCCCTGATGTGACACCCTAACTTATTATGTAAATTTAACACTGAATTCATAGATACATAATTTACAAAGAACCTTGACCAACTGTCTAAAATTCTTTTGTCCTTCTCATCATTAATTTGGATAGAAAGCAGAGCACTGAAAAACTACAGAGTAATATTGTAAAGCAGGCAGTCTGTGTTGCAACTACTCAGCTCTGCCTTTACAAGGAGAAAATGCTCATACATATCATAAATGAGTGGATATGTCAGATTCCGATAAAGCTTATATTCGAGTTCTTGTAATGGACTAGGCTAGGCTGTGAGGATAGAAACAATGGTGAGTTTTTTCTTTCTAAATATTTATTTCATCTACTTGAAAAGCAGAGAGAGAGCGAGCATGCGCATGGTGCAACAGCAACTTTCAAATGCTCCCAATAGCTAGGGTTCTGCAAAGCTGAAGTCAGAAGCTTGGAATTCCAACCAAGTCTCTCTCTCTCTTTTTTTTTTTGACAGGCAGAGTGGACAGTGAGAGAGAGACAGAGAGAAAGGTCTTCCTTTGCTGTTGGTTCACCCTCCAATGGCCGCCGTGGCCGGTGCACCGTGCCTATCCAAAGGCAGAAGCCAGGTGCTTTTCCTGGTCTCCCATGGGGTGCAGGGCCCAAGCACCTGGGCCATCCTCCACTGCACTCCCTGGCCACAGCAGAGAGCTGGCCTGGAAGAGGGGCAACCGGGACAGAATCCAGC